CTAGTTAGAAACTAATTATTATTTTTTTTTTAGTTTTACATATATTAAAATAAATGACTAAATGGGTACCCGTTTATAACAGCGGGTAATACCCATAACCATAACCGTCAAATTTAAATGGGCGAATAACCGCGGTTACCCATAACCAATGGGTATTTGCCCATCCCTATCCCTGACAGACCGTTTTAGTTTCCTGATTAACTTCATTTTATTCTTGTTTGGTTTAACAAGTTTATTTACTTTTAGCTAATATCTGAAATGCTCGTTTTTAGGGTGTCCCAAGATTTATACAGCCGACCACTAAGATAAGGTTTGCTTGTTGTTGTTGTTGTGGTGGTTGTTTTAGTTCTTTTTTTAAGATGAGCTCATTCTTCCATTTGTACCACCGCCAGGTTGACTTGGTTTTTCTCTAAATGTTGATCCCAAATCCTATGACCCCAAAAAGCTACTCAAATTTTGGTGCTTACACAAAAGACTTCGCGTGTGTGACCATTAGTTTAATGAATCAACTATAGCAGATTTCATCGATAATGTCGTTAATAATTGATGGATATGTCGTCGTTAATCGACTTAATTACAAGTCCTGTTAGAAGAAAGAAACATGAAACCGAGGGATAGAGCGAGTCGAGAAAAAGGATCTAATATCTTTTACGCTAAATTTCAAGTATCACCGTTGAATGGCTTTAGTGCAGTGGCCTATCCATTACTTGATACAGAAAGGGGGAAAGAAATACAAATTACATATGTTTGTCGAAAAAAAAAAAAGCGAAACAAACTACATGAAATGATTCATCTAGGCATAATAATTGAGGCTAGCCTTTTTCTTTGCCTGAACTTGGATAATGCCCTCGTTAAAGTCCTCGTGGTTCACCTGGAGGAGAATCAAAACAAATACTCAAGATTAGTACACTTCGTTAATTAGTAGACTGAGCTAATTTCGTGTACTTTTCTCCCCCTGCACTCTATTCTTTCTTTTTCCTAGTCTTTGGATGAATAAATTACGGGAAATCAAAGGGGCAGATGCAAACTGAGTGCAAAAGGAGAGAACGGGAGAGTGAAAATCACTATCCTTTTTTAGTATGAATAGTTTAATTGAGAGAGAAGCACCTCTGTGGCATCACGTCGGAGGGCAAGCATGCCTGCCTCCACACATACAGCTTTTAGCTGTGCTCCGTTGAAGTCATCAGTTGAGCGAGCCAATTCTTCGAAATTGACATCAGGATTAACATTCATCTTTCTTGAGTGAATCTACAAAATTAAGAAAAAAATAGTAATAGATTAGAATGTTGTCAAGCGCAGAGTCATCACAAAACACATGCAATTGTAAAGAGAAACCTGCAAAATTCGAGCTCTTGCTTCTTCAGTGGGATGTGGAAACTCAATTTTTCTATCCAACCTACCAGAACGCATAAGAGCGGGGTCGAGGATGTCAGCACGATTGGTTGCTGCTATCACCTGCATGTAAGACAATAAAGTTGGTTATGTCATCAAAATGAAGTTGGTTATGCAGCATGATTGGTTGTTGCTATCAACTGCATTTAAGATACCAACCAAGTACTGGAACTGGAACATCTACTACGTATTTCCAAATGCATCATAGTTGCAGGAAAAGCAAATAGACTTGCAGACAAGGAAACAAACCTTAATTCGATCATCGCTACTAAAGCCATCAAGCTGATTAAGCAACTCAAGCATTGTACGCTGCACCTCCCTATCTCCACTCACTTCACTGTAACCATAAATGAGAGAATATATTTCAATCAAGAAAGAATGCAATGATCAAATTGGATATCCATGATGAAATTGAATTCAACAAGTATAGTATACCTATCAAACCGCTTTGTACCAATTGCATCAATTTCATCTATGAAAATGATGCAGGGAGATTTCTCCTTTGCAAGCTGAAAGGCATCGCGAACAAGTTTTGCTCCATCCCCAATGAACATCTACATCCATTCCAAGTACAATTATTTTGTTAAGGACACAGTTATAAATCTGAAGTTAAAACAGTTGAGCACATTTACACAAGAGAGCAAGTTAATTCAGAGACTATTTACTCTCCCAAAAAGGATCAGTTCCTCCTAATCAGAAACAGGTAAAACGAAAGAAAATCTATGGAACAACTAATTTAAATCAACAAAACCCAAAGCATACAAACAAATCTATTATGCACTAGTATGTCAAAATCATTAGAAAAACACCTACCCATGCTCAACACACATTCTTAATTGGAAAAAAAATGGTATAAGTAATAATCATATTGAATTATGCTATACCTGAACCAGTTGTGGACCAGCTAGTTTCAAAAAAGTGGCATTTGTCTGCGCAGCACAAGCCCGAGCCATCAATGTTTTACCAGTTCCGGGAGGTCCATACAATAGCACTCCCTTTGGTGGACGAACCCCCAATTTCTGAAAACGCTCCTGGTGGGTCATGGGTAAAACAATTGCCTCAACTAGTTCTTGAATCTGTTGCATTGAAAAACAATTTAGGGTACAAAATCCAAATGTGTGGTATCTAAGTCTAAGAACACCATGAATGCCTCAAAAGCATGTCCAAAGTATGAAACTTGCCTGCTTCTCCAGCCCTCCAATGTCATTGTAGTCTTCAGTTGGCTTTTCATCAACCTCCATAGCCTTTACCCGAGAATCATACTCAGACGGCAGAGTATCCAAGATCAGGTAACTATCTTTGTTCACACCAACAAGATCACCAGGCTTCAATTTATCAGGATCAACAAGCCCAACAACTGGCAGAAAGATTGTCTGGAGTAAAGCAAAACCCATAATTTGGCTTGTCAGTAATGCATCCTATATAGTCTCTTTTAACCGAGAACACGTATATCAGAAAAAAGAAAATCAATGACAAAAGTCACCAAAGTCATTTGGGTAAGATAAAATTATATAACATAAGTATGCAGCCTTACCTGACGAGTAGATGTTTTCAAAACAACACACTTTCCCTTTCTTTGGGAGTCAAGATCAATATTTGCACCATCCTCCTCAGCCTCATCTTCTGGGTTCATTTCCAGAATCTGACAGATACAGAATATTAGAGAATAAGGCTAACAGAACTCCCTCCCACACACCACCAAGAGACTAATATCAACTCAAAGAGCTTAAAGTTCTCAATACACTCTTATTGATATTAAATGAAAAACAACCACATAATAACTAGTAAAGATTTAAATTACATCTTTGTAGACTCGTTATATGACTAAAATTAGAAAAGGACTGCGCGGAAATAGATGTCGTGCTGCAACGACATGCATAAGGAGTCAAGTCCTCCAATTTATTACACTTTATATAACAGCCATCATTCGTACTTCCATCTCTGAGATATTTGCTCGCACGGCAAATTAGGAACTCAAACAAGCCATATGGCCCATATCCCGTTTTAAAAAAAAAAAAAATTCTTTCATGGTTTCAAAGAGTGTAGTTCAACTCGATTGTATGCTAACCATAGTACAAGATCTTATAACAATTTCGATTCTCATATTCAGCGTATTCTTTCTCATATTCAGCGTATTCTAATTTTCGCTAAAGAGAGTTTCTATAATGACCTCAACTTCACTCACCCTAATAAATAAAAAATCAATACTTTCTCTAAATTGTCTATGTAACGGGCTTTTCGCACGAAAACAATTGAGAAAACAAGAAGGCAAATACCTCAACAATGTTGCCCACCAAGTACGGCAGCTGCTTATTGAGCTTAATCTTTTCCTGATTCTCCTTTATCTTCTCTTTGTACGAATCCAGCTCCAAATTTGATCTTGACATTTCTTCCTTCAATCCCACAAACAAAAAATCAGAAAGAAAAAAAAAAAAGGAGAACACAAACATTCACATAATAAAATCTCAAAACCACTCAGAAAACACCCACACCCTAATTAAAAATTAAAAATTTCCCAAACAAATCAATCAGTAAACAGAAGTACAAATAAACCCTAAACTCAAAATCAAGTCTTTCATCCTAATTTTGCATCGACCAAAGCAATCCCTAAACAAGCGCAAGCACAGACAGTGAGAGAGAAGAGACCTTGCGTATTCGGATCTTGTTGTCGAGAAGACGGGTGGCTCTGACAATATCTTCAGTGGTCATCGCGGCCAGCTGATCATCTTCAAAACTCGTTTCCTCTACCATCATATTCGCCATCGATTCCGATTCTTCTCAGAGAAGAGTTTTCAGCTGCGGATTGAGAGAGTGTTGGGTGAGAGGAAGAGTGCTTCTCTACTTGTTCTTAAAGAAAGGATTTTTCTGAGCAGACGAGTAAAAAAGAGAGGTTTTTCTTGTTGGGCCCAATTGCGTATAGACAATAACTGCTAGCCCCGGCCCAATAGATCGACGACGAGACCAGGATCGAAACAAAGATAATTGAGTTTGTAAGGCAAGAAATCAAAGGGAAGCTGATACAAATATTTGAGATAGTCCAATGAAACAAACGCACATTTAGTAGACTATTTATAACGGATTAATCATCCAAGAGAGTATACACCACCTGTGGGACGTGTAATATATGATACAAAGTTGCCGTTGAAGACAACTCCGAGTAACAAATACTTGTTTGTTAGATTGGAACATAATAGAGTCGCACATCGTTTGACAAAATTCACTTTAACTAATGAACTGTGCTTGAATGGTTTGAAGAGTCGTCTAATATAATTCAGGACGCCCTTTTGAAGATAATTGTAATTTTTTTACTCCTAAATAAAATCTCCCTCGTACCTCGAAGTTACTTAAAAAAGGAAGAAGAAATACATAGACAAATAATGCAATTATGTGTTGGGACAGTGTAATGAAACTAAAATATTCAAATAGTTTTGAAGAGTTGACATGCGGTGAACGAGAATTTTCAATGGGTACTTAGTGTATCAGATCGAGTTCCCGGCACATTAAACAGGAAAGGTAAACCATATTCTTGCAAAATGTGAAGGGAAACAGAGGCTACCAATGATTCAAGATAAACAATGAAAACCAGAGAGACTAAAAAAAGGAACCACTTCACGAAAACAAATCAAGAAATTAAAATCAACTAAGATATGATATCCAGGAAGAGGTATTTACCCATCAACTAACATTTCAGTTACACAAGGCCAGTTGCTGTTCCTAGCAAGACCTGAATATCTTTTCACAAAATTTCAAGTATCATTACAACGATGAATACACAAGGGAGGGTTTGGTTTTTCCGAACGAAAACTCGCCAACGTTCGATCTAGGCATAATAATTCAGGCTAGCCTTCTTCTTCGCTTGAACTTGGATAATCCCCTCGTTGAAGTCTTCGTGGTTCACCTGAAGTAGAATCAAAACAAAACTTGAAGATTACTGCACGTCTTATCATGGGTTTTTAAGTAATACCCACAAAGTTAAGTCAGTAGACGTATGCAATAAGTGATAGAGAGAGAATCACCTCAGTCGCGTCACGGCGAAGGGCTAGCATGCCTGCCTCCACACAAACAGCTTTTAGCTGTGCTCCGTTGAAGTCATCAGTCGAGCGAGCCAATTCTTCAAAATTGACATCAGGATGAACATTCATCTTCCTTGAGTGAATCTACAGGATTGAGGTAAAGGTTTAATAACAATGTTATCACCAAGCACAAAAGTAATCACAAAACATATGCAATGGTAAAAGGCAAACCTGCAAAATCCGAGCTCTTGCTTCTTCAGTGGGATGAGGAAGCTCAATTTTACGATCCAACCGACCAGAACGCATCAGAGCAGGGTCCAGGATATCAGCACGATTTGTTGCTGCTATCACCTGCATTTAAGACAAAAGAATGGTACCACTATCAAATTTTACGTGCTAAACTCCCAGTAGTTAAAAGTCTGGAACGTGTTAAGATTCAACTGAAGTTAAAAAGTCTCTAAAACCAAGTATTGTGAAGTGAATCATAGTTGTAGGAAAAGCAAATACATTGCAGACAAGGAAACAAACCTTGATCCGGTCATCGCTACTAAATCCATCAAGCTGATTTAGCAACTCAAGCATTGTACGCTGCACCTCCCTATCCCCGCTCACTTCACTGCAATAAAAAATGTGAGCATAAATTTCAAACAGGAAAGAATGGAGTGATCAAAATGGGAAACAATATCTATGGATAAATTTGTTATTTCAAATGACTGCTCAGGAAGTACAGTTTACCTATCAAACCGTTTCGTGCCAATTGCGTCAATTTCATCTATGAAAATGATGCAGGGGGATTTCTCTTTTGCAAGCAGAAAGGCATCGCGAACAAGTTTTGCTCCATCTCCAATAAACATCTACATCAATTACAAGTACGATTACTTCATTAAAGACCGAGTGACAAATCCAAAGTTTACTCACATCCTACAAAGTTGAGCATATTTAAAGATAAAGAGCTTGTTAATACAGAGATCATCTCCCCAAAATGATCAATTCCTCTCAATATGAAACAGGTAAAACGCAGGACAACCTAAGAAACAACTAATTTAGATCTAACAAACGCAAAGTCACAAACAAATAATTCAATTCTTCAGGTTGTGGGGACCCTCTAGGTGTGTACCCAAAAGGATCAATTCCCTCCTCATACAACACAGGTAAAATAAAGGACAATCTATGAAGCAGCTACTTTAAATCTAGCAAACCCAAAGTCACAAACAAATAAATTCTTCAGGGCGTGGGACCCTTTAGTGCATACAAGGGCATTATAAATTTAAGAAACAGACAGTCCTTGTCTACTCTGAACAATAAGAGCAACAACAAAAGGTATGCCAAAACGCAGAAAATTCAACTATGAAAATAATGTCTTAAGTGGCATTTCTCAAAACCATTAGAATATCGGCTGCTCAATGCTCAACGTGCACATAAATCAACATATGCATAAATACTTAGCTTAAAAAAAGGTATCCGTAATAACTGTATTGAATAATGGTATACCTGAACCAGTTGGGGACCAGCCAGTTTCAGAAAAGTGGCATTTGTCTGAGCAGCACAAGCCCGAGCCATCAAAGTTTTACCGGTTCCAGGAGGTCCATACAATAACACTCCCTTTGGTGGGCGAATTCCTAACTTCTGAAAACGCTCCTGGTGGGTCATGGGTAAAACAATCGCCTCAACTAGTTCTTGAATCTGTTTCAATAAAAACAAATTAGCGTACAAAATTCAAATGTTTGGTATCTAAGAACAACCATGACCGCCTCAACAGAGAATGTCTCAAATATGAAACTTGCCTGCTTCTCCAGCCCTCCAATGTCATTGTAGTCTTCAGTTGGTTTTTCGTCAACTTCCATAGCCTTTACTCGAGAATCATACTCGGACGGAAGAGTATCCAGAATCAGGTAACTATCTTTGTTCACACCAACAAGATCCCCAGGCTTCAAGGTATCAGGATCAACAAGCCCAACAACTGGAAGAAAGATTGTCTGCAGTAAAACAAAACCCCATAATTTTGCTTTTGAATAATGCATCAAATATGATTTTCACACAAGTCTCTTTTAGCCGTAAACACATATCACAAAATTAAAATTCACCAATATAAAAGAAAAGCAATGATGCAGATGACTGCAGTAATTTGTTTTGCTGTTGGTATAAGGGAATAAGTTCATAGTATTAGTCGCTGGATTACCTGGCGAGTAGATGTTTTCAAAACAACACACTTTCCCTTTCTTTGGGAGTCAAGATCAATATTTGCACCATCCTCCTCAGCCTCATCTTCTGGGTTCATTTCCAGAATCTGAAAGATACAGAATAAAAAAAACCAATAAGAGAGTAAGGCTAAATAGAACTCCCCAAGTCCACAGACCATCAAAGACTAACACCAACTCAAAGAGCTTAAAGTTCTCAATATCGTTTATCAACATTAATAAAACATAACGTCAGAATAACTAGTTAACAATTTAATCACATCTTCAGAGACTCATTATATTACTAAAATTAGCAAACAAGGGTTGCCCAGAAATAGATGTGTTGAGATGGCAAGCAAGGAGCCAAGTCCTCCAATCCAACACACTTTAGTAACAGTCATCAGTTGTACCTCCATTCCTGAGATATTTAAGCTAGGGTGACTCCATTATCAAATTTGCTTGCCCCGTGAATTCTTAACTCAAACAAGGTAAACCCTAAACTACAGTACAACATTTTAAGTCCACTTCGATTCTCAATATTCAGCGTATTCTAATTTTCACTAAAGAGAGTTACTTTACCGACCTCAACTTCACCCACCCTAACAAAAAAAATCCTTTTTCTCCAAATTGTCTACGTAAAAAATTGAGAATACAAGAAGACACACATACCTCAACGATGTTGCCCACCAAGTACGGCAACTGCTTATTAAGCTTAATCTTTTCCTGATTCTCCTTGATCTTCTCCTTGTACGAGTCCAGCTCTAAATTTGTTCTTGACATTTCTTCCTTCAATCCCACAACAAAAAATCAGAAAAAAGCACGAAGATTCACATATTAAAATCTCAAATCCCCAAAATTTAGAAAGAAAAAAATACCCACCTAACAAAAGCATCGACCAACGTATCTAACTAAAAATTCAAAATTTCCCAAATAAATCAATCGGAAACCCAAATCATAAATCAACTCTAAAATCAAAATCAAGTATTTCATCCTAATTGTGCACCGATCAGTAGTACCCTAGAGTACAACAAGTGCGTGAGAGAGAAAAAGAAGAAAAGAAAGGACCTTGAGTATGCGGATCTCGTTGTCAAGAAGACGAGTTGCTCTAACGATGTCTTCCGTCGTCATCGCGGCGAGCTGATCGTCCTCAAAAGTCGTGTCCTCTGCCATGAGGTTCGCCATGGGATTCCGATTACTCCTCAGAAACCGAGAGAGAGTTTTCAGCGGCAGATTTCACAGAGAGTAGGGAAAAAAAAATAGAATGGTTTTTGTCTCTGTCTTCCAACGAAAACGATAATTGACCCAAAAATGAAAACGATAACTAAAAAGGTTTTTGTGTGAATCGGCGGTGGACTTATCCTCGTAACAAGATAGAAATAATATGATTTAAATTTATTTTTAGAGAAAATCGAATCTAAAACTTCTCAGTTACAAGTGAAGAAAAATATCACTAAATCGTAACAGTAGTTTAGTGATACAAACTAAATTTTGTCTTGAAGATTTGATGCCCCATCGGGGGATACCGACTGTGGTGAACATATTTCAAAAGAAAACTAATAAAAAGGGCTTGAAAACTGTGAGTTTTAACGATAAAAACAAAATAAAGGGTAAAGTGAATAGTACAATGATTGACTTTTTAGTGTAAAAATATGATTTTTCGTTAAAATGAATAGTACTGTGGATTTTTCGTTAAAACTCCTTATTTCAAATGCCAAACCTACTTTATCTTAGGCTCCACGCTCCAACGCCAATTAAGAACTTTAGTGTCACTTGATGTTCGATTTTGTTATTGTTTTTTTCCTTCAATACTAGCGATGTTCGGAGATAAGGGAATCATAATCGAACTTAAGATCTCGGGTGCAAGGAAAAATAAGCTCTTAATCTAGCTAGAAACTCTCTTGCATCAAAAGTGAGTGTAAAATGAAAATTTTGATGGGTGGTAAAAAGCTATAAGAAGAAAACGAAAAATCATGGGTGGTAAAAAACTATAACAAGTGAAATTGGAGGGTGAGGGGAATCAAACTTAGAACTTCTAAGATAAATACTGTTAACTACTTGAGTTACAATTTCCTCGTCAATAGGATGGCACTTATGTTTACAAGAAAATTTACAATTCAAGGGCCAATGCTATCCAATCATATGTACAAAATATTTCATGCTAAACTGCTAATTATTCGACCTTCCACACTTCTTCAGATACTAACAGAAGCATTCAAAGCTTCCAATATATGCCCAGCCGATGCAAAACGCCGGCGACAATGCCCCAAAACAAGATCTCCGCAAAGAGGACGTAGAGTAGAATGCCTACTCTCCTCGAATGCCAAACCCCGACGAAGACGTGCTTTTGAATCCAGTACACCTGCCATGCCGCAACTCAACACAGTTCAACACAAAAAACACGGCGATTGCAGGTAAAAATGAAGGTAAAAACATATGGTGCGCGAACATACAAGCGTGTTATGGGGGTCCTTGTAATACCACCCGTTAATGAATCCTGCGAGGATGCCTTCAGCTGCCATGACATAGACAAGCATAGCATTCATGCCGATCCATTCCAGCGGCAGGAACAGGTACCTTATGCTCCAGATATCAACCTGGCAGGAGACGATGTTAATCTTTCATTCAAAAATTTATAGCCTCATGAGAAAAAGGAAAGAACTATAAAGTCTACATGAGAAGAGTTAATATACCATAAGGTAGAAGGCTGAAAACACCAAGGCTGCCGCTCCCGATGTTATGCATACGTAGCTAAATGTGTACAGCTGTTTATTTGAAGGAATTGCTGCAATGGGAATAAAACATTAGAAAGAATAACTTACTGGTAAACACATCAATCGCTGTATAAACTTCTCCAGTTCGCCTCAGTTCTCACCATGACTGAAATGAAGAATAATTCCTAGGGCGAGGAGAGCACAGCCTGTCGGAACCCAATGCTTCAGTCTGGCTGGATGACCCTGTAACCCGGAAAGACAAGAAAAATGAGTTAGAGTCTTCCACATGCTAAGCACCGAATATACGAATCAGAGACCTAACCTGCATATGTATAAGCACATGTCCGAAATGCACTCCAATAATCGCGGAAAGAATTGCAGATATAGAGCTGCAGGTGGAAAGAAATCCACATAAAATTTCTAAAAAGTGCCTCAGAATTAACATCTATCGGATTATCTGGAAGCAGAGGCCTGATATTATCTCTTAAGTGTCCGAAACTAGTACAGGACCGAGTGGTTCAAATCCAACAAAGTCAAGGGTTATATACACCTTACAATTCCTTCAGGTTCAAAAGGAGCACGGCACCATGATGGGGCATCATTTCGGAATGGTCCTGCATATGGAGAATTCTCAGTGCAAGCCTGCAGAATTTCAAAGTCAAGAAGTTTAAACATTAAAACTGGCACTGATGTAAGCTCTTGATCAGAAAATCATATAAATGATCAATCAAGGAAAAGATTAAACTACATACTTTGGATCGTTTCCAAGCCGGACGCTGATACATGTGACTGATTCCCAACACTTCTCTGTCAATATATCCTACTGCATTACACGGAGGATCTAGTTTTCCTCTCACACCACAAGCTACCTAACGACAAAGAATATTCAAAGCAGAATATATTGTAATTTCATACTTTAGATCCCTACCACATCCAAATTTTCCAAATTCAACAATTCTCAATCAATTTTAGGAGATGTGCTTATTATCATTTAGAAAAAATTTGAGGATCAAGGGCTTACGGTGTAACTTTTCCCATAATCGGTTCTCTCTCTGTCCTGGACAGTAAATTGCCAATCAGGAACATATGCCCCATAAATCACAGCAAAGTAAATAACGAGAACACATGCAGCTACAAGCCTACAAATTTTGGAACGAAGAATTCTTCTGTCATCACTTTATTAAAAAAAAAAAAAAAACACACTTTATAGCATTATAGAAATATAGAATTACCAGTGCCAATAGTACAACTTGAATATGGAGAACGTGCCGGGTGCCATATCTTTGGTTTCTGCACCTCTCGATACAATTTCAATCAGTGCCACAACCAGATATGCAAGAGCAATTCTCTACAAGAAGCAACAAGAACTACTCAATGTTCAACGTACGTAATCAATATAAACCGCATAAAAGTGTATGATTACCAAAATTACCTGGAGAATACCGCACCACCTTATTTCTTTCACGTCGACACCATATGTTAGTTTGTCAGGAGCGTGTGAGTAACCTCCTTCACAACATATCAAAGTTATGTTTGTCATTGTCTACGTAAGAACAGAAAAGCAGGGTTTGCCACATTATCACGAAAGAGTTTTGGTAACTGTTCTCAGGATTTAACTTGTCAATGACCTTTGGGCCTACTTAAAACAGAAATAAGTTTTCAACAGTGCATCGACATGTTCTAGATTACTAAGCGCCACCTGAGCTAATATCTAAAGACTGTAGGCATCCAGTTCACCTCACGACAACAAAAGCAATTGACAGTTTCTCAAATCACCTGGTAATTTCAAGTCTGAAATAAAGTAATGCATCACACAGAAAGTATCATTCGATTAACAATGATACGAAAACCAAGGTTTTGATTGGCATTGAATTCCCTAACTAGTTATTTAAGTGTTTAAGCACATTATTGTAACGTTGCTTTCGCGCAAGGCTAGAAACTATACAGACAATGAAGTAAATAATGAACCCAACAAATAAAAAGACAACATATTTTCAAAGGAAGAACTCAAACCTTGTAATAGGAGACCCCAAAACAGTAGCTTCAGAGTTCTAAGAGTCACCTTCTTGACAGCCACAAATTGGTCCGGTATTCTCTATAAGAAAAACACGCTGTGTTATCATTTCCTACGATGCGATATTCTAAACTAGTCTAATATAGAAAAAAAGAGGGGGATTCAAACTAGGTGCAAGGGGTCGTCACACTGCCCTACGAGTGTTATGATCTAGTTGAATTCCGATTTGGGACTGCTCCTCGAAGAGCTTAACGCACAATCTGCCAAGTAAAAGCGCTTCTAACAGTATTTGGAAGGAAAACTTAAAGGCCTTATGAGTCATAAAAGCGTTTTATGAAGAAGCACACGTTGCTAGGTTGTGTGGAAGTGTTTTAAGATGGCTGAAAACGCTATTGATGAAAACTTTTCTGGAACCAATCTTTAGTAAAAATGCAAGTTAATTCTAAGAAAACACTTAATGGAAAAAGCACATAATTGGTGCATCTTGGAAGAAAGCACATAAATGGTGTTTTTTGGAACCTAAAAACATTTTCTCTAAAAGCCCTTTCATTTTCAAAAACTTCCGAACGAGCTCTAATTTAAATAAAAATTTCAATGTGTTCCTAATAAAAGTGCTTATACCAAAAGTGCTTATAAGCAGAAGTATTTCTTACAAAATTAGTCGACGAAACGGGCCTAATTAAAAGAAGAAAGTTACAAAGAAAGAAATGGAAAGCAAACCTTGAGAGAAAGAGGAATGGCCATGCCCACAATGAAGAGGAAGAAGGGCATCACAAAGTCTGCAAGATTGCAGCCGTTCCATGGCGCATGGCCAATCACTGGCCACTCTCCACCCGCATCGTCAACCAGAATCATCAACTACATCATTCAAGCACAAAGTAAAACAGTGAATCAAGTAAAAAGAGTAAAAAAATAGTGTGAATTAACTACCTACCGAGACGGTGAGGCCACGAAAGATGTCCAGGGAAGCGAGGCGCTTCGATTTGGATGCCTTGGGGTCGGAAACATCACGTTCCGACACGATTAGGCTCTGGTGGTGGCTCGTATCGGCTTTGATTTCTGCCATTTTTGTGGGTTCAAGTTCAACCGTCCTTGGTGATGAGCTGAGATAGTGATGACTGATGATTGCATGGAAAGTCGCGTGTGGGGCCGCCAGTTCTGACTAAGTGCTTAGGATATCCATGAACTGCATTTTGGCCCATAGGATTGAATCTTTTTTGCTTTCTTTTAAAAAAGAAAACGGATGGTAAGTAATGGTTATCTATTATTTTTGGGAGTCGAGAAGATTCAGAGAGATATTTTAACCTTCCTTGACCACAAGTCTGCCTTCCAGCTTAGTAGCGGATTTCGAACAGAGACCTCCAATTTTTAGTTTTAAGAAAGCCTCGTAATCCACTCTTTATCATTAGACCACCAGCTCGTGATTGATTAAATCATTGAGATGTGACAATATATTCCCCTGTGATTTTTTTTTTTTTTTTTTTTAACACCAGGTCGAGTGATTTTTCTATATATTCCAAGCACAAGCCGATACATTGCCTTATGTTTTGAGTACTCTAAAAATCTCTCTGAGAGCATAACTATGATTAATAAAAGAAAATTATTAGTCTATGTATTGTAATTTTTACATTTTTTTTATTTTTTCTGCATGTCGTGGACCATGTTTAGAATATTTACAAAATATTACGGAGAAACAAAAAAAAAAAAAAAAAAAAAAAAAAAATTTGGTTGCAATGGTATGACTGCAGAACCAAACCCAATCACTATACACAAATCCTCAAGCATTTCTCATCATCTGAACAAGGAGATCGTCGCCCACAACGCCTAAATTTCACTTCACACTACAAGTAAAAGAAATTAGCCCGCCCCTGCGTAGTTTTCTACTTCTAGCGCTGCACTTGGCAGAAAAAAACACATCAGCTCTAGACAATGTGACTACACTCACGGTTTTTCAATACACAACTACTTCTTCATGGATTAGTATTTGGGAGGAAATATACGAGAATGTGGGGAGATCACAGCCTCCTGAATGTACTTCTTGGAATTATTAGGGTCAGGAACCCAACGAATCTCACTCAAATTTGGGGTCTCAACATATGCCATCAGAAACTCCCCAACCTTCTCAATTTTGCCTCTCTTGCCTGCCCTGAGCAAAAGGTTGTTCCTGCAGTAAGAGAAGATGCCATTGCTCAACTGCACGATGTCACCGGGCTCGAAGGCGTCGCACTCGTTCCCCCACAGCTGGAAGTGAACCGCCGCAGTCTCGTCCGCCACTAGCGCCAGGCACGTCTTGTTTTGGGCTTGTGATGAGGTCGTAGTTGTAGTCTTGACGATGCCTTTGTCCAAAAGTATGAACCTTGTGTTTATGTTGTTCTGTGCTGCTGGCACTATGTCTTTCAGTGGCACCATCTCTCGAAGAATGCTCAATGCTTTTGAATCATCGATATATCAACGTCTGCCTCTTTTCACCAAGCAGATCCGATGGCTATGGTGATGGCAACGAGCTCTAGTTCAGACTGCAGTACCGCTACATACAGTTGTTTTAAATGCTTATGCAAAACGAAACTAAAAACAATTGAATGTGACACAATAAGAACCGATTATCAAGAGAGGAAAATTCCGGTCAGCAAGGAACCTTATCTCTACTGTATCATCAGATAGATACGCTTCTACAAAAGGCAAATTTCTAAAGCCTTGCCAAGTCCATAGAAGAGACTGGCAAAGCGCTTCGAAAAAATTGCCTCGTGGAGCACATCGACGTATGATTTGGCTAATTTGCATCATCCCAGAGAAAATTAGACACACACAAACGACATGAATTCAAACCAGAACACACACACATCGGGGGAGTTCGAATCAGATCAAACATAAAAGACGCATTCAAAGAAGATGCTGAGGGAAACATTTCATTGACAGACTGAATATGCTCGAGAACAAAATATTGATTGTAACTACAACGAATCAGTAGACAAGTATATTCCTTTTTTATTTTCTAGTTAGTTCGTCTATTCTATTTGTTTAAATTAGATTTTCCTCCTACATTTTCTCAGCAACCAAACATAGTAAAATTGAGAGATAGATCTTCACTTTACTAAGCAAATTATGGGCCTGCACAAATTTAAGCAGAGAAAATGGAAGCTGCAATCAAGCCAACAACAACTACAACACTATCAGAACAAATACAAAACAAAAATTCAAAATACAATACCAAAGTTTCAAAATTTCAGCGAGAAGAGAATCAAATTCAAAACCCTAACCCTAAAATTCAAATATATACCAGTTTCTACGCCGATAAGTAAGAAATTGCCCTGCAACCCAATCTTCTTCCATCACAATGTCTCGGAGAGAATAATCACAGCGAAAGTTTATTAACAAGAAAAACGTTGCGGCGAGCTATTGTTTCCAAGGCTCGCTAGTAAGTGATATAGATATTATAGACAACTAATTGCGCGGGATTTTGACCTAATCCTACTCTTGAATCATCACTCATTGGTAAGCACGGGCGGAGTGGGCCTAAAATCGAAGGGACCAGATGAGACCCGTTTGAAAATAAAACGCGACGAGTCTAACCATTTAAGGTCCGTTTGCCCACTCCTAGTCTTGTACCCAAAACTCCTTCAATTTTCTTCTTCTTATGTTTTTTTTTATGATTCTTAAGGGAAGTTCGACCCTTCTCAAGCGATCCAGACACCGCTCTATAGGAGCAACTCTACCGTCGCTTATTACCCTGAGGATAGGCAACCCAACCCGCTCCTCCCCTTCTCCAAAACACTCCAACTCACACGGGCAATTGGGCTCAAGGTGAGCTTGATGGAGAAGTCAGACAATAATCGCATGGCCTAACGCCCTACCTATGTGACCAAAGGTTGACGTCATCATGATGTCAGCCACAATTTAAATTATTACAAATTCTAATTTAAAAAAATCTATAAATCCCTAACCATGTTCTTCCATTTTACACCACATTTCAATATTTTTAAATACTTTGAACTAATCTTTTATTACTATCTGAAATTAAAAATAAAGCTATCTTTTATTATTTTATAAAATAAAAAATGCTAATATTTTAATACAAATTGTCTAAGCTATTCAGTTTAGAAGTGGAGATGCACTTAAGCCGTTACTATTCACGACAGTTACCGTTGATTTAAGGGATTTGAGTTGCCTATTGCCCAGATGACCTTACTACACTGGAAGTGCTCTAATAGAATGATAAGAAAATTTCAGATAAAGACATTTTAACCGTGACATTTGTAATGCACTTCTTATAAAGTATGAGACTCCTCAATGAGCTTTGATACACCTTGAAAACTCGTTAAGGACAACGCCACCCCACCCCATGCTAGTGTCATTCCATGTGAAAACTGCCCTATGAAGTTTTCCTCGTGCTTGAAAACTAGAGTACATCGGCATGGACATTCCATGTGAGAACAGCCCTACTTCGCATGTGGTCCAATATCTTAGTGAATAAAGTGTTAAGTTTCTAATGCATCTTAGATTCGAAACTCTCTCTCCCCCAAATTAGCTTGAATACAAATCAAATTATGCTAGATTTGTGATGTGGTTTGCACGGCTTTTGTCCGCTTTGGTTTTTCCTTTTCGGGTTGTTGCTTCAACAATCCTATTGGGTTTTTTGTACACATCTTTGATGTACTGTTGAAACAAACATAGTTGATTTGATAAAAGGAAGGCAATACACAAATTAAGCCACTCTTCATAACAATTACAAATACAAACTCCGCAACGTCCTCCGCATTGACAAGTTCATAACACAACGAGAAACAGCCACAACCCTTTTACTATACACAACATAAACAACAATTATATTACAGTGCACCAAAACTGAGGGAGAGAAGCTCCAATGGCGGAGACATGACTCAGAATGGAAACGAGCAAAAGGGAAGAATCATAGGTAGGCAAACCCTAAGTACGATTGGCATACTCAAGCTATGGGTCTATATGGGAAGAAACTCGCTCTCTTGGCTGAACATCTTCATTTGAAAAGGTGAACTCACTTTCCGATGCCAAGTTCTTTGGTGATGTCTCTCGTCAAGCTGAACTGCAAGGTATTCTGCCACGGAAATAGGGTGCGCGTAACTGGAAGCTTTCTTCGAAGATCCTGCATCACATCGATTAAGTTTTGAAGGTTAGTACTGACATCAATTACAAAGATGTTTTGGGGTAAGGTAATAGTAAAGAAACAATTTTTTTCTTCTGCAAATGTGTTTCATGTTCATAATGAACATATTATGTTCAAATATGCTGAACCGTGCAAATGTAATAAATTTAATTTCATTCTTGATGGAAGTTAATAGTACCTTGAAAGTGGTATCAGGCAAATTTGAATAAGATGCCTACAGAAGTAAATTTGTTAGTGAAGAGCTCAAAAAGTTAAAACATCGGCTATTAACTAGAGAAATTGGTGTATTTTGAACCTCAAGAGATGTTAGGTACTCGGTCTCGTGTTGACGAATAATGTTGCTAATGGCAATTGCACTATCTTCAGAGGACTGCAACAAATAAGAATCATAGGAAATGTTAAGTTGTGAAAATAAAAGTTCAAACAGCCACAGGACATGTTTTATCATTAATGTATCAGAAGCATGACATGGGAACTCATAAGATCACCGAGCCTTTATCAATGCTTAAGTATTTGTATGAATAATATCAAATTCAACTATAGCCCTTCTGTTTCTACACACAAAAAGTGTCAGATGATTCATAACACGCCGAAAAGACTACGAAACTGTTGTGATTAATACCCTTTCTATAAAAATTGAAGTACAAAGTTATACTAAAAGCAATACATTAAAACCTCATTTGGTGGAGAGGATTGGATTAAAATGGATAACCCTCTAAATTCAATGTATTTTGAAAGCTGTGGCGGATGATTTTTCATTTTGAGGGGATTAGAAGAGATGGACATGAAGAAAACTTCTCCCATTGGAATGGATAACTTTTATTTATTGAGTAATCCATCTTCTACCTCCGAGTTCACCACAAATTTTTTATTTCTTCTTTCAACATACCTTAAAAATAGTGGCTTCTCCATTTTATATTAATCCTCTACACCAAACGAGCCTTAGGGTTCTAACTAAGGGAAGGTACAATGACCTTGTATAATAGATCACCAAAAGCAATACAAAAATAAAAATGACAATAACCAGAGAGAGATATCGTAACATCAACCTGAAAAATTGTTGTATCTTTGCATTCATGTTTTGCATCTAACTGCACATTGCCCTCCTCAAAATAGTGGGCACCTACCTGAAAGAAGGAGAAGAATAGAAGAGCATGGATGAGAAACGGTTCCTTCTTGGTTAGGTGCTTAAGCTATGAACTCAATGCTCCATACTGAAAGCCAAATACATATGAAATACCTGCAGTTTGCCTTTTAATTCCAGCATTTGTATTTCATCTTTGAACTCAATGCTCCATACAGAACGCCAACTACCATTACTACGCGGCATGACAAATAAACTTATATCAGAAGATTCCCACATAAAAAGAGGCAAGAAAAGGAAAATCAACATTCTCTTCTTTCATGAAACTAAGAAAGGACCTGGTATAATAACAAGACAGATTTTTTTAGTAGTTTATAGACTATATATACATCTGTTCCAACTGAAATACAAATGTTAAAGAGAAATAAACAAGCTCGCGGGTAGGGAATAGCACTAATTTCACATACCAGAAATTTTGTGGGCTGTGTCTAGCAGCTGAAATCACCACTACAAGCTCAAAGTCAAATCCAGGGCCCTCCATATCTTTACCATTGCCACAGTACACTGAGCAGACTCCTTTCGGATAAGCTTCACCAACATATTTAAGTATTTCTGCATCCAGAGCACACCTGAAAGGAAAGAATATTAACTTATGCACAAGCCCACCAAACTCCCACAGACACAAGCACACCAATGTACGCATGCACACACGACTGACATGAAAACAGCTGTGGTTCTATTTGTGTGTTGCTTCCACAAGCTTCCAATAATTTTTATATTTGTTTCCTTCTTCAACGAGCATGTTACGAAGATAACAGGACGAGAAGTAACACATATATTGCATAGTTCTCTCTAGGCCATTATGGAACTCTCAAATATTAACTTTCTTTGGTAAAAGTATTACTGGTTTGGTAACTCAATATTAACAAAGTAGTAGTTCCTACAGGATTAATGTGAAACTATTCCCATGCCAAATACTTGGAATAAGCACATAAATATAAGCAGCGCACTTAAAACCCCTAATATGAAGCCAAATATCAACATGTGTAAAGTTTCACAGAAAATAAAAGCATACCGGAATTCCTCAACATAAGCGGATGGAAGTTCCTCATCCAGTGCAGGTCTCACCTCTGTACAAACCTGAACCAATTTTAGCACATTTTAATGAAATAATTGGTAATAATTTAAATGAAAAGGTAATAAAGGGTGACAAACAAGGAGAATAACGGGCACACATGTCATATCACACATGCATGGACAAAGTCCAGATGGTGAATGACTCAGGAAAATAGGATGTAATTACAAACAAGAGTAACGAAAGATACACGAAAAGCTTTTATATTAGCCGTATGAATAAATGCACTCATGTGCTTGCCCATCAATTCTCTCAAAAATGTCATAACGGAACAAATGCATGGATGCTTGATTTCTATCATCAGGAGCAAGGTTCATGCTTTACTAATACTTAATTACCATTATCCAAGCAAAGGGTTTGTAGCTCATCTTCTCAAGAGCAGTCACCCTTGCACCCAAGATCCCCAGTTCGATTCCCCCCTCCCCCACTATCGCTTATATAAAAAACTACCAGTATCCTAAATTTTAAATATGAGAAACTATATTCTTCACCCCCATTTTCGGTATCATCGGATTTGTGTATTGGAAGAAAAATGAAACACTTGCCTGTTTAATGTGGTCAACTACAGCAACTTGAGCTGTCCTGGGATCAATGAACTCGGTCTCACCGAGCTCACCATACGATGTAACTATAACCTGCTCTCACAAACAGAAACAAAACCCCATACATTTTCAGATTCTGGAACCAAAAATACATCAACAAGGCAATAAAAGTTTGCAAATTTCACAAATTGGGAACTCGAAAATCCATCGAAATGCCGATATTTCATTCGAAAAAGGAAAAAGGAAAACTTACGTCGCCGATTCGGCCCGGCATTTCGATGGAAATCAAGTGGGATTTGTTGTACAGTGGGAAGGCCTCTGACGCAGCCTCCCCGTACAAAACGTCGTCGTTGATTACCGCCTTCACATCTGCCAACCCAGAAGAGAAAATCAAATACAGAATGCGTTTCGCATGATCGATCGAAATTTGAAATTTTACGAAATTAAATAAAAATTAGAGAAAAATGTGAACTTTTGGGGTGAAAGGTGAGACCTTTGGCGACGAATTGGATTTCTCCGGGGGGAGAGTTGAGGAGGAACCACTTTGCTATCTCCTTCTTCTGCTTCTCGCTTAGCTCTGCTTCTTCTTCGTCCGCCATTTTTCTCTGTTTTCCCAGTCTCTCTCTCCCCTCTCTATCTCTCTCTTCTGAGATTTGATGGGAAATGAACCGGTGTACTGTAAGATTCAGGGGGCAGAGAAAGGAAGAGAGAAACGTGATTCCCTGCGGAGCACGAAGAACCTGATCAATCTTGTCCGTTTATTTTAGCGGCGCCTACCGAAATAAACGTCCAAGATTTGTTGTGATTGAAACGCGTCACATAGAAGAGCTGCCTTTGAGGTGTGATCCGTAAAGGGTCACTTGTGGGACTTTGGGAGATGTGTGACCCTGGTGACTCTGATGATGAGCCTGTGAATTGAAGCGAGAAAACGATATTATCTACATTAAAGATGAAATAAGTGGATTAAGTTTTATAATGAGATAGTAATAACTTCGTTCAAATTCATTTTTAACGAGAATTGAACCTAAGATCTTTTACTTATAACTAAAAAAAAATACTATTACATCTTAGTACTAAGTGGCGATGAATTTATGAATTGTGAACCGAAATGATTTTGAGCGGTGGGGATGGCTTTGTAACCACTAAAACCTATTGGGTTCAATGATTGATATGATCTGATCCGTTCGATCATTAGACCTTTATGAAGATAACTGGATGAACGACTCTAATGATTGCTTCCACCGTCACTATGGTAATCTCTCAAACTAATAACTCTGATGTTAAAGAAAATTTTTCATACGTAATGCGTTATTGGTCCAAGATGTAAGCGCTTGTAAGTCTTGGATAATGATGTTAGATTTCATTTCTTGTTCGACAGATCATAGTCTAAGTATCAATAATTTTAGAGAACTTTAACAAAAAAAAGCTCTTAGTATTATTTACTTTAATGAAAAATCTTAATTTTACACTAAAAAGTCAATCATGATACTATTCATTTTACCTTTTATTTTATCGTTTATCGTTTTCAAATCATTTTTATTAATTTTCCTATAATTTTAACAATGTGGGTGACATGTCAATGATAGATACTGAGTTGTTAGACATGCCTCGTCCAATACACCATTAAATGGCTTGTCTGGAAATTGTTTTAAATTGGCTCAAAATAGTTTTGATAAAAAAATGTTTTTTAAAACCATTTCTTAATAAAAACTAGAACACGGGCACACATCAAAAGTGTGAGAAATTTTTTTATTTTTATTTTTGAAGTAGAATAAGAGAGGAATAGAGTGATAAAGAATGGAGGAGTGGGAATTTTTATTTTTTTTTAATTAGAGATATGTTAAGATTACATGTAGATAAGGTTTTGAAAAAAAAAAAAGCAAAATTTGGTACCCCATATTTCTTATTCATGTTCTATTTTAATTAGATGATTAAACTGGTAATTTCATAGAATTTTGGTTAAGAATGAGTGTTTTATTAATTAGTAGAGATATAAATGAATTCTGAAAACACACTTAATTCAAGTACTTCCTGCAATAAGCCAAAGTGCTTTTGAACCCCACAAACGTATTTTTCAACTGCTTTAGTCATTCTTTTCCCAAAAACAAAAACAAGTGCTTTTAGTTATTATAAAAGCACTTTCAAACAAGTTAAATAAAATAAGGAGGTGCACTGCCATCTGCTAGAATCTCTCACTTTAACTGAAATGAAACCATACATATAAACAAAACGTTCTAAAAACACACCACTAGTAGGAACTTTAACCATTTTGGTACTGAAAACGTTCTAAACCAAAGCTTGATACTTGAAAACAAACGGAAAATTTTCAACCAAAATTTCAGTTCTTTTATGATGAACACCAAAATTTTAATTTACATAAGCCTGTGCTAGATTTATGTTAGAACTAATTCCATTGTGGTAATAAATTGGCCTCCAAGTATCGTCTCCATGCTTTCAACGGACCAACCCCGCTACCGCTCGGAGAGGTTTCTTGGACTCTACGGTTCATAAATATGCCTCTAGCTGCGAAACCCATAAACTCACTCTGGTCCATGAAACTACGCATCCGTGATGCAAAGCCACCTTCACGAGAGAAACCCACTCTGTAACTCCAATCAGCAGGCCGGGGTTCTTGTGTATGGGGAGGAGCAGCTAGTTGGATCTCAGTTTCTTGCAGCGGTGAACCATCATCTTCGGAAGGTGTAAGGATCCCCATTCCGAATAATTCCCAATCAACATGCTGCAAAATCACTGCAGCTCGGTCTGTGTTCTGCGCAGGAAGATTTTGTGACCGAGTTACTTGAGCTAATTTGTCGACCTGAACTTTCAGTTCGCTTAGTCTATGACCAATCCTTGAAGATACAGCATCGTACAGCTTTCCTCTTGATACATGCTTAGCTCCTTCAGAATTCAACAAATCATCAAAGTAGATTGGATCGCCAATAACCACCGTCACCTACATTGTCCAATTATATGTGAAAACAGTAAGCTGGACATTATATAAACTACATATTTATAGAACCCTGTTTGTCAACCAAAACCCTATGAAATTACAATTCTAACCCTCTAATCAAAACAAAACAGGATTACAAATTATGGACAACTTAGTAATTACATAAACACAAATTTTACTGTTTTTTATATGAACCTCACACCTATGTAACAATAACAGCCCCTATTTTAAAATTAAAAATTAAACCCCCTGGATGGAGAACTCGGTGTTTCATGGATTTTCGTGGTTGGGTAGATTTTTTATGGGAATGAGATAGAGATCGGAAGAGACATGTGGTGGTGATGAGTTGAGGGCGTGGTGCGGTTTCCATTGGCTATGATGCATGCTGGGTTCTGAGTTCAGTTTCGCAGAGGAGTTTTATTCTTTGGTAAAGGCACATGCGGAACTTAGGGATTTGGGATCGAGAAAGAAGGAAGGTTATTCAATTGGCCGAATCCAGAGAGAGATTTCATGCGAGGAGCTCGTGATGAGAGAGAGAGAGAGAGAGAGAGAGAGAGAGAGAGAGAGAGAGAGAGAGAGATTTGGTATGCAAGGCGAAATGGTGAAGCAGGTGAGAGAGAAGGAAAAAAATGAAATGGTTTGGGGCCAAGAAGGACGATATCGTATCAGGTTGCAAAAGTTTTTTTTTGTTTGTGTCAAAAATAAAAAATTGGCACACACATCAGGTACATGAGATTTGATAGAGGTAGACGTGGGGGGGCGGCGGGGCGGCGGTAGGAAGGCTTTTATAGTGAGACCACAAAGAATTTTTACACGCGAATCGCGTGTGCGACTTAGCTAGTGTATCATAAAAGAACAAAACATTGGATAAAGCGTGAAAGGCATCACGGACTGTAATGGTAAAAACAACAATCAAATCCTACAGCAGACAAGGCTACATACGAAGGTATATCTGCTCACTCATATGGTTGCTAAGTATCAAAGTATCTAGCTGGAAGGATTACACCCTATCGAACGGAAACTAAGCAGATCAACACTGAATATGTACTGATAATAGCAAGTATTGGACTTACCGTATTGCCTATCCTTGGGATGCTAGCACCAATAGGCATAATGTCCTGCATCCCGCTATGCACAAATGGAACAACCATGGGAATATTGTCGGCGTCAAGGACCAACCTGCCAAGTAAGAATATGCAATAGTTACCGCACAGTGTTCCAATGAAAATAACACTACATCCAATTACTGGTTTAATCAATGTGCCATAAGTTACTATCGAAGACTCTCTTTACCGAAAAGCTTACAGATAAAAGCATGGGAGCAATATATCTTTCAAGAAAGGAAGATCAGATCCTCACCTCCCGACACCTCTCTTGGAAGACCCCATGGTTTTTCCACCATCTCGAGAACGACTACCTTCTGGGAAGATGTGAACCCAACCACCTTGATTCAATTTTGAAATAGCCGCGTCCATTCCCTGAATCAATCAAACCATAAAGAAGAGAATGTGGCATGGTTATCACACTGTCATTCAAAAAGTAAAATAAAACATGACATAGAAGAACAAAAACCAAATCAAACATCACTAACTAAAATCTGCATATAGAGTAAATAGAACTGTATCCATCATTCTGCACCAGAATCATTCAGTTAAGCGCCAATTAATTATAAGACAAATTGATAGCTTTTAGCCCTTCCATAGACCCAAGGTACATATGAAATGTTCAAAACAAATAAGGAAAGAGCATCGTATCTTTTGATTTATCATACTAAAAGACCCATTTCTAGAAACATATGAAAAGAAGAAGATAAAAATCAAAGCACTACTTATATGCTGCGGAGGTTTGGTTTTATTTGCAATCATACGTGTCATGACAGCACTAGTACTAACAAACTACCCAACACTTTCAACAAACTTATTGACATAATTAAAAGAATACCTTTTGATAAATCCCATCACCACGTGAAACTGGCAGGACTTTGACAGATCGAAAAAATGCTGAAGTTACAGGATTTGCAAAACAACGATCAGACGCGCAAAGTGTCCACCTCAAGTTCTGAGCATCCAGAAGAACATGTCGAGGAACCAACGCAGAGAGAACAAGCGGATCATCCATAGAAGCAACATGATTGCTGACCTGAAATGAGAATTAAAAAAGTAGCCATAATTACCAATGGGAAGACAGAAATAGCGAAGGAGCAAATGGTACTGATGCCAATCAATTCATATGCATTAAGTTTTAGACCCGTAAATAGGATGCTGGGGCGTTACCGTTATAAGAGGCTTGCCTTTGGGTCTGCGTAGTACGGCATCATGTAATTTTTCTACACCATACACCTATGACACCCGAAAACCCACATTATTCTTGCAGCCCTCAAAATACAAAATAAAAAAATAAAAAACACATAATACCCCACAATCTCACCTACCTGAACCTGATTCAATCCATTCATAAACACGTGACAAACACTGCCAATGACCGGAACAGCCACAGCTTGAAGCATGCGTAGAAGGATTGATTCTTCTTCAGCATTGAATTCCTTGCCCACTGCAGGCACCACAATACAAAAAATCGCCCTTTTACTACTGTCCTCACCCGCCGCAAACTCTTACTTGGGTAGATTACAAAAGCGCAAACTAATCAAATACTCCTAAAAACATTTGCAAATTCTTCAAGCTCAAAGATTTTCACTTCACTAATGGAATCGTAGCGAAATGCAAGCCTATACCGATAGGAACCCGAAATTGTCCTCAAGATGCAACTTTTAAATTCGTGCTAATTCGAACAATGATCAGTCTTGCCTCCTATGCTAGTTAGCTAACTGATTTTTAACAGTAAGACACAAGGTTTTACTACACAAAGTTAGGAAATTGAAATTCCTCAACAGAAACAAATCAATCAAAATTTGCAATCCATCGGAAACGAAAAACACAATAAAAAGACAATGAATTCAATTTAATTGAAGGAAGGAGGGAGGAAAGGACCTCGTTTGCGGTAGAAGGCGGTGGAAGAAGGGAGGGAATCACGGCGGAAGTCGCGAAAGCGCTCGAGCCAGTGCTGCAATGTGGAGGAGAAGTAACCGTCGTTGGAAAAAATGGGGTGGTGCCGGAGGCGGCGATCCACCTCCACCCTGAACCGCTGCCTGAGCCGCAGCTGCACCGACAGGGCCTTGCTCTTCCATAGATCGCCACGCTCAACCCTCGCAGCAGCCATTACAATTGAATCAGAAATCGAAGAGAGAGTGGAGAGAAACGGAGGTTCGAGAAAATTCAAGAGAGAGAGAGAGAGAGTAGCTAAGCGCGAGTATAGAGAGTGGTGGGGTCACGTTCGTTGTGCCGGGCCCGGGGTGCCTAAACTATTCATGTTAGGTAAATTTTTAAGATAGTATTTATAAATTATGTGATGCGTCACAGATAATAATTAAATATGTTTGTAATACTTAATTCCCCTTCATTTGGGGCATAATTATCGGAGGGAAGCGTAATGAATACTATACAATTCAATTATCAACAACCATATTATATGATTTACAAAACAATATCTTTTGTTATTATCCCAAAAGTTTCTCTCCAAGTCTTAAAAAAGAAGCCTTTTCTTGTCAAACTCTTGTATCAAAAAGTTGCAAGCGAATGATATTTATTTTCAACTCAAATATATTTGGGATTTTTTTTTTTAAAATTACCATTACCATAAAGAGGGAGGGATTCAAAATTCAGGAGGGGTAAGTTATTTTAGTAATTGGAAACGACAATTATAATTGAAAAAATTATAAATTTCTACTCAATCAAACAATGGGGAGATTTCAGCTTCGAATCACCTCGAAAAAATTGAGATTTTGCCACTAAATACTATGGTCTAGTGATATTCCTTTTACTTATAAGTGCGAGGTCTTAGGTTCGATTCTTACCAAATGCGAGTTTGAACTACATTATTGCTAACTCATTGTGAAAATAAGCTCACCCCTCCCCTCTTAGTGTAGATAATAATAAATAAATAAATTGAGATTTTGTGTTACTAAATCAACTATTACATGGCGAATGCTTAAAGAATCATAGCCCAAAACATGGCACAGATTCACAAAGGGCTTTCCGCCTAGTGCTTGGGGGTGTCCAGACTCGGCCCATCTCAGGCCCAAGTGTATTTGCCCCTCGGTTCGTTCTACGTTATATAAATCTGAATCATAGTATGCAGAACATTGTACGGAACAAACCGAAAGACGATATGAGAACATCGTATGCTCATTAGTCATTGCACAAAAATTTCAAGAGCAAACATCGGCGTAGAAATCGAATTCCAAAATCTTTACAGCCTATGCCGATTTAAAGAAAATTCCGAAAGAGAAGAGGTACAGGAAGAAGGCGGGACGTTTTTAATGCCGTCACATTCAACGATTCCATCTATCTAAGGCTATTTTTTGTCGAACTCCCATATGACGCCTCCATCCTCTGCAACACCGAAGCAGGAATATATTAGCATAGGCTCTGTAAACGAAATGGAGTGATTAAAAACCGAAGGACGTAACTTCAAAAAATCAGAAATGTATAAGCCAGTTCAGAACAACCAAGATTGCCAAAACTGATTGCACAGATAAGGAGATCTAACGTGTTCCTACGGTACACGTCTTATTAAGGCATTACAACAAACAATTCCGTGAATGTCAGCAGTCTGATCACATATTTCTTACTTTAACATCTTTCGTAATTTCCTAATGTTCAGATGTCTAATATAAACCAAGAAGGAACCCCTAAGTTCATGGACAAGGCTCAAAGATAGCATCTACCGCTAGCATTGCATCTAACCAAAAACATTGTTAAACTTGCGAAGGTGAAATTTATATTCGTCTTGATCAGACCAGAACATGTGATCACTATTGAGAACGCAAGACGTTCAATCCTACTCTTGTTTTCGGCCCTAAAAGTTGAACCGCTCCCTTAAGGAAAGAAACTAACATCGGAATTATAGGGCATACCTCTAACTTTCTTGTTTATCCAGACCTCCAACAGCATGCCAGCACCAATTCCACCAGCAATGCACGCTCCAAAAAACGCAATGTTGTAGGGTAGGGATCTTCGGGGAAGAAAATAGCAATCCGGAATCTGCCTAATCTTTCTGGGAAGCCGCTTCTTTATCCCTGGTTTAACACCGGGGTCCTTCTGCATGTCATTGCCAACAGCTTTCCAATCCACCCCTTTGAACGGGTCTCTTGGCTCTTCGGTTGCCATGACTGTAAACTAGTTCAGTTCAGAGCCTGCACAACCTTGAATCTGAACGTCGTACGCCAAGCAAAAGAACAACAGTAAATAAGAAATCCAATGGAAAAATAACCACAAAAAACATGATGGTAAATTGGTAATGAAAAAGTTTATAACTTAATCAAGTACATCAATGCCTAATCCAACTTATCATTAGCCAATCCCATAAGCAAATCATTGAGCACTAATTATATGCAGATTTTCTTCAATCCATATTTCATCCAATGCTTTCTGAAAAATATGCAGAAATCTTAAAACTGGAATTCGCAGCAAAATAATTACCAATTAAAGAAATTTAATTGGGCAAATAATTAACAATTCATATGAAGATAATAATCCCAAAATCAAGCCCTAGAACACCAAATTCTGCATCACAAATTCACAATTAAACAAATCGGGGAAAAAAAACATCCGAGTAAGAAAAACGAAAATTTCCCAATTAAAAATCGTGGGTCTATGCAATTCAAGATCACAGATACCAAATAAGTAAAAAGATACTATACAGCAATAAGCAAATGTCACTCAACTAGTGCAAGTTTGTGTTTGGTTGCTGAGAAAATTGAGGGAGATACGACGAGAAAGTAACTTCTTACCGAAAATTAAACCTTCCAGACGAAACAATGAGCGGATTTTGATTAGAAGGCGATTGAAGATTGTTTGAGGTGCTTTTTTTTATTTCTTTTTTTTTTTTTCCAAAGGTGTTTGGTTGCTGAGAAAATGATTACAAGAGTAACCAGTGGGAACAAAACCCTGGGTTTTTCTCCCCTTTGGTGCTGGTTTAGGAAACGCATCCTCCCACCAAATCTTATCAATCAATTAATTCGACTCCTTGAAATTTAATTAAAATATGAGTTTTAATGAAAAAGATCCGGCTGTTTGAGCAGGGAGTCTGGATGGAAACCCGGACCCGACCCGTACTATTTGGATTCTTTGATATTTTTGGGGGCCGGATTAAAAGGCCCAAATCAAGTCCTATATGGATTAATGGATACCATACTCTAGGTTTTATTTTTATTTTTTATGCAAGTAATAATATGAAAGGAGAATCAAACTCAAAACTTTCAGCGCAAAAATAAGAACAAGAGTCGAACTCTTAATTTTATCAAGCGTACGAAGCTAGAATGCTCCGCCATGAAAGTTTAAAACTCCAAAACAGTTTGCAATGTAAGTGTTCAACAATGCAGATAACTCTAATTTATCATTCAATTCCAAGTTTCAACCTAGTAACAAATACTTGAGGGATTTCATTCATGGCCCCCCTAATTTCTTGTTAAACAAGCTATTAAATAGTAATACACATTATTTGCAGATCACATCCCTCGCGCATTCGGTTTGCTTGCCTTGCAATCTGCCACCAGAATAAACCAAAGCAATCTCTTTCGCATTCCCGGATCCTACTTTCTGCAAGCACCAAAGGAATCATCCTGGCCAGCATACATCGCCCCTCTCTCGTTTGAGGTTCACCCTTGATAAATAATCTGCACTGGCCCGAAAAGAAATTGAAAGCTCATTTCATCAATCTGGATGAACAGAAGACGACCAAGGAAAACTGATAGACTTATCGGTACAGAACAAAACAAAGAGAGAGAGATTCTGTACATGGTTACTTGGCATTGTTGCGTAATAGACTAGTCGAGATGGGAAGGGATATGGTATGAACATTGAAACGAGCATCAGCAAATAAAAATTTGAAACTTTGACCCCGCATTCCCAACATCCAAGTAGTTCACATCAACTGCAACTTCCCCAAGATCATCTGACCAGCACCAATGAAAAAATTGTATTCTTAATCTTCAGGAACTTATTTTAGAAAAACAAAAAAGGCATATCACAAGTTAAAATATCGCACCTTCGTATATAGTCCTTGCAATATTTACATATTCAGGTATGAGATCCTTATATATGATTCCATCTGGACGGGCATCCAGCGCTACAAGGACACCTGAAAATCAACAAGCCGCATTACATAACGTTTATGAAGCCATTGAAGCTACTTTCTTCAAATTGGTTAGGCAAAGGTACCTGGTGCTGCCCAAGCTTTGGTTGAATCGCTTGGCAATGGAGCAAGCCAGAGGATGTTTCGCAAGTTCATTGAATCATCATAAGTCACATTCGACCCTAAAAGAGGTGATATTAGAACAAGAGGTGTAACACACACATTTCGCTGCAAGGTATTACAACATTATATCACCAATTGTAATTGCTTGATATGAGAAACCAAAAAGTTGTGGAACAAATTAGTACTGTTAAGCGGAGGATTTAACTTTAGCTTATTTCTTCGTTATTTTCAGACAAATCACTATCAAAGACAGAACGGCTAGTATTCGAGTACCAAAACAGATCTAATAATTGCAAAAAATCAAAGATGTTATTTAGGGATTTACCTACTTGACAGTATCCCATGTTGTATGGAAATACTTCCTTATCATATGCAGGGTATTCTTTGGCATGGAACCTATCAGACATAAAGACATAATCTTAAACAAACCGATGATAGCTAAACATTGTTTGCCGTGCAAATTACAGCTCAAATGTTCCAACAAAAGGGTGCTGCAAGAAAGATACCAACTTACAATATACCAAGTCTTCCACTGTCTATGGCAAGAAAAAGGTGTCCATGGAATAAATCATAGCGACTCAACGACACGTTCAATCCAATATCGGGACCCCGAGCAAGAATAAGTTCAAACAAAAATTCAAGATATGAATTCAACTCCTGCAATGCAACAGAAAAGCACTATATAAATTCACACAGAGGATAAATTTCATGACTAGAACAACTCAAAAACTTGAAGTTTCATTTTTTTTATGCAAACCTCACTTATGAATCGTCTCCCATACGGAGTTCTAGTAAGCTCGCATCTGTCCTCTTTCGATCCTTCAACATCAGGCACCTAATACATTACTAAATTAAACATCCTCTAGTTACAACTAGTGCAAAAAATAACAAGACAATCCGGACATTACTTAAATTCATCATAATTTCAGTTCCATCTCCAAACTAACTAAAATCCAACATAATGAAGACCGATTACGGAACAATTGGAAATCAATGTGCAACAATTTATCATAATGCTACACCAAAGTTACAAATTTTCCCCAAATTCAAGCACAAAAGGCAATCACATACATGAGAAATTGGCAATTACTAAAAGCAATAATGAAAAGGAGACTGACAGTGATCATAGTCGGATCCAAAGCGCGTTGAATCGCAGCCGGGTCTCCGCCGGAGTCAACAGCCAGGCGAGCCAGCTCCAAAACCGGCCGAGGCGGCCACCAAACGAGCTCATCCTCCTCCCGCTGACACAAATCACAACCCTTATGCTTCAAGACTTTCCGATTCGAATAACTTGGCGGGCAATTTCCCTTGGCAATTGGCGAAAAGGGCACGAGGAATCTGAAGCAGGAAGTGAGTTCTTGGGCAACAATGGGGTCAACGGACGAAGAGTGGGATTTGGGGCCCAGCAGAGAGAGCAGGTCCGAAGGAGTGGCTTTGAGAGAAGGTTTTGGAGAAGATCGTCGTGGAAAGATTGGGGAAGATGAAGAGGCTGAGATGGAGTAGGAAGCAGTGAGAGAGAGGGAGAGGAAGATTGTTAGTCGGAGTGAGAGAGAGGGCTTCCCCATTTGCTCTCCTCCTCTCCTCTAACATCACCCCTAACAAAATTATGGTTGAGATTTATATTTGCCGGTCGATTCGGTTAGTGGGTTTACCGATTAATCCAACTGAAATTTGTTACGTTGGTTTAAGTTATGAAGTTTAAAAAATTTATTTCCGGATAGAAACCCGATCACCCCGTTTAATGGATGAGTTAAGTTAAATTAAAATATTACTAGCATATGAGCGCACATAAAGTGTGTGAGAAATTTTTTTAGAGTGATAGAGAATGTGGAAGTGGGAATTTTTTTTTTTTTTTTAATTAGAAATATGTTAGGATTACATGTAAGTGAGTCTTAAAAAAAAAAATAGTAAAATTTGGATTACATGTAGGTGAGGTTTTGAAAAAAAAATAATAAAATTTGGTTGTGTGAAATTACATTTTTATCACATATTTCTTATTCATGTTATGTTTTAATTAGAGGGTTAAATTGGTAATTTCATAGAATTTTGGTTGATGATGAATGTTTTATTAATTAGTAGTTAAAATATTATTAACCGATTAAAAACGATCCATCTGAATATCAACAATTTTTTATCATACGTATATATTACATACTCATATAAATAAAATTTAATAGGTTTTTTTTTTGTTTGTCGAATTTTTTATCATACGTATATATTACATACTCATATAAATAAAATTTAATAGGTTTTTTTTTTGTTTGTCGAAATAAAATTTAATAGTTATTAAACACACTTGTTTATTTACAACTTTAGTTACATGATAAAATTTAGGAAATTTTAACGAAAAGTTTCCAGTATTGTTTACTTTAACGAAAAACTACATTTTTACACTAAAAAGTCAATCATAGTACTATTCATTTTACCCTTTATTTTGTCCTTATCGTTAAAACTCAAAGTTTTCAAGTCATTTTCATTAGTTTTTCTTAAAATTTAAGTATTAAGTAACAAATGGTGATTCTACAACACCAAATTCACAAGATTTAAGTTTACTATTACATATGTTTTAAATTATTTGTCACTCATACTCCCTTGGAATAAGAAAGAAATTAAATAATCTCAACTTGTTAAATTTGTCCAACCTAACCCGCCTTACAATGGTTTGGGTGGGTCCGTTCGTCCATTTCTTCGGTGAAAATGAGTTTTCAAATTCAATAATGTCAACCTAAACCTATTGAGTTGGCCAATGGTTTAAAATCCAACCCGACCAACCCACCCAATGTCCACCCCTGGTGGTAACTATAATGAGACTCCATTTAAAAAGGACAGATAATTTCATTATCTTCGGACAAATGAAACATAGATATTGGATATTGCTAACCGGAAATAGAATTATGTACGTCCTTAGTTTGTTGCCTCCCTTAACATAAACAACGCTTTCTACATAAACACGTTGATGGCAGGCTGAGTTTTCCTGCCTCGAAAGGATGGACTGCCATGACGAAACCTCCAGTTGATCCTTTTTTAAAGAAAAAAGAAATTGACCGCCTCCAAAATGTCATCCATAAAAAAGATAAATAAAACAAAATAAAATAAAACTTAATCAAGATATGATATTAAAAATTTCCAAAGCGTTCAACACAATAAACAACGCAAGTGTTGTCATTCAACTTTCAAATAGTATGTGTTTTGTGCACCGTCCAGGTTTGTGCTAGAGGCAATTTTGGCGTCACTGTTCCATCTCTTCCGTTCAAACAATGCACATAAACAGGTTGTCTTGTCGCTTCATCTTTATACTCCCCACATGAAGATTTCGCACTCTTTACATTAATGCTTCGCCGATCACCGAAGAACCTCCAACAAGCAACCAACCATGTACCAACTTCTACAGTATCCATGTTATAACTCCTGCACCAAGAAGCGTTCTGATCAGAAATCTACCCGAAGGGATCTTGCCATCAAACACATTAATAACATATAAGAACGGAAATAATATCGACACTAGCTTGCAATGTTCTTGTATAACCATGAGTTAATCTGTCGTTCGTGCCATTTTATTCAAGTTGCAAAGCAGCCTGACATGCATATCACGCCAACACTTATGCACAGATACAGCTAGTTTAATGGCGTTGTAGCCTGTGCACTTAAAATAAACACTGATCGACCTGTCATGCCCGTGCACTATTAATTAGAATGACAGTCGTTGCATACTGAGGAACGGTTAACTTACCTATAACGACCACATTGCTTCAATTACAGACCACCGAGTTCATCTACAACTTTGACGCCAGCTTTATTATCCCATTCCTCAGGGGAGGCTACATCTGCCATTATCTTTTCTTGACCACGCCAAAGGATCTGCAGGAGGTATTCCCGCCCTAGATCAGTCAACTTTCCACAAATATTGAAGAAATAGGTTACATTAAGACTATGTAGAAGGACTTACCTTGTCAATCACCCCGAATTCTTTAGCAGTTGTAGAATCCATATAAAATGGTCTTCTCATCACTTTAGCAACAGCCTCCTCTGACTAATACAAAATAACACGATAACATAAGTTCCCTACTTTTGCTCGTACGCTGATTAAATCTTATAAAGAGAGCTTACATTTCCAGTGTGTTTGGCCAGAAGCTTTACGAGAATGTCCCTATTTGTGATTACCTGCAAAGTACTTCACCCAATGTAAAAGTTTCCACAAAATGCACAAAATAAATTAAATTCAAAAGATTGTGATGTTATAAATGAAATGAAAGCTTACGTCACAGCCCCTCAGAAACTTCCTCTTATTATATTTTGCAAATGAACAGATAATAACGAAGTGAAAGAAACCTTCCTATTTTGAATCCTCCAAATAAGTTCAGAGGCCATGGAAAAAAAAGAGGTGATGCACAAATATGTGATTAGGACAAGAACAATTAAATGGTGGAAAGAAATGAACGAGGAATTCACCTCTTTTGCACGAATAAGAACATCACTAGCAGGCATCAGTCCAGATGATGGGACACGAGGTTGCTGGATCATTGCTGAAACAGGATTGAAGGAAGTTAACGAAAGTTTTAAAGATCTGAGATTGCAGCCTTTTAAAGCAAAATGTGTCATACCTTTGGCATGTGGCATCATAAATCGTTTGCCCTTAGTTCCTGCTGAAAGCAAAAGACATGCGTGACCTATAGCGGCCCCAACGGCAACCGTATGTATCTGAATGAGCAAGAACAAGTATGTACTAAGGTAAAACGTACAACATTCATATCATAAACAAAAACAAATCATTTCCCTATTTTCCAATGCCCAAATCCCTTCGCATATGTAGTTTCGAGAGTAGGAAGAGGAACATAAAAATGTCAATAAATATTAAATATGCATATAAAACTCTATACACACTACTTGAAAGAATTTATAAACCATCGCCACAACTTCCATTGTTGCAGCATCCCAACCATTTCAGCACAAAATAATCACTACTAGCACCAAAGCAACACATTCGTCATTCGCACCACTGCCATGGTGCCACCACTTGCATGCATATCTCCACCTTAACCAATTGCTTTTCCAGAAACACCCCATGTAGATCCAAACCCACACCCAGAACACTAACACCATGGCCAACACCAATTATGCGAAGTGCAACAATTCTTAAAGTGAATCACCTCATTTTTCAACTGCATCATAGCATCATAGATAGCAAATCCCTCTGACTCCATGCCAACCTGAAAAATAAGCAATTGGAATATATTATATAAATAATTGGTAGATATACATCATTTCATATCCATCTTACTTTGAACAGAAACACCCGACTTACGGTTTCACCATCATCACGGGTGGTTCCCGTCGAATTAATATAAATATATATTGGTTGTTTACGATCCATCCATTGCAGATACATCAATTCCGCAACAATAAGCTCTGTGACTGCTGGCACTAACTGAAACATAAGAGCAATTTTCAACAGATTTCACAAAAGGCACGAACAAAGTGACAATAAGATTGATTGAAACCTATTATGAATAGTTTTTCCATTATTCCAGTCTAATTCTAGTCATATCTTCCCCTTCTGAATTACCCAGAGAACACCCCCAAGGCTTACACTCAGAAACAGTGCTACTTTATCAAGACAAACACTTCCCCGTTTTGTTTTTGCATCTCAGCCCCGAAGACATGCCCTGACCTCCCACCAAAAACACGACATGTACTATGAAAAGACAGCAGAATTTGATACTTCCATAAGATGGCATCTACAATAAGATAAATATTGGATTCAAAAACTCACAGGCATGCCAATATAAACTATTCTTCCGTGAAGTAACAACGAGGGCAGGTCTGGAGGTGGCTTCTTGGGCCTATGCTCGTTGTAAGAAACCGATCTTTCCACCTAGTTCAAGCAGAGAACAGCATAAGATTAATAACCAAACAAAAAGAATACGGATTAACCGAAAATAACATGGAAACAAATCATTAATTACTACTACAGCACTAACTATATTACAAAAATCAATGTACAGTGAAAAAACCAGAAAATCCAACTAGCACCACCATATCATTAAAACCCCATTAAAATAACTAATTCAAAATTAAACCTTTGAACAAAAACTAGCTTAACCAATACAAAACTAAGGTTCTTTCAATAATATCAATGGTACAAATCAAATTAATTCAAAATTTTCACTTCAATCCTTCAAAAACAGAAGCAATTCATACTTTTAAGTAAAAACTTAGAGAGAGAGAGGGGTACTTGGGCAGGAGTGGCCATGAGAATAGGTTCATCAAACATATCCAAGTACGGGAGAGAGTCGGAATTTTGAGGCGGCCGGTTCAGCAAGGTTTCCGGGGACTTGGCAGCCACCGCAGCGAGCTTCGAAAGAAAGGGGTCCTTGGCGTTTATTGGAGGAGTTGGGATTTTGGCCGTTGCTTTGGCGTTAACGGAGCAAAATGCTGTAAGCTTCCGAGCATTTCTGGGTCTAAACGCCGACGCAGGAGCTGACGATATGGAGATTGGCAGCTGCAAACTGCTCGCCATTTGAGATTACTTGGTGGTTGGTTCGTTGTAGTCGGAACTGGAAAGGCTTTGAAGCTTCGGCTGGGAATTTGGAATGGTAGT